CAACCAACCAACCAACCAACCAACCCACCCACCCACCCAAACCAACCACAATAACAACCAACCAACCAACCAACCAACCAACCAACCAACCAACCAACCCACCAACCCACCAACCCACCAACCCACCAACCCACCAACCCACCAACCCAAACCAACCCACCAACCCAAACCAACCAACCCAACCCAACCCAAACCAAACAAAGCAAAAACCAAACCAACCAACCAACCAATCAACCCACCAACCCACCCACCCACCCACCGACAACCAACCACCAACAACGAACAGAAACAGAAACAACAGCAACAACAACAACACCAACACCAACAGCAGCAGCAGCAGCAGCAGCAGCAACCCACAACAACAGCAACAACAACAACAACCACAACAACAGCAGCAGCAACAACAACAGCAACAACAACAAAAAACTACAACAACAAATTACAACTACAACTGCAAGAAAAACACCAACGACCACAACCACAACCACAACACCAACACCAACACCAACAACAACAGCAACAACAACAACCACAACCACAACCACAACCGCAACAACAACCAACAACCAACAAACACAACAACAACAAATGCACAACCTCTGATGTGGGCCTGCTGGGCAGCTGGTGGGTGTCAGCCCCTTAGATCTGACTGTATATAGAGGTTGCTCAATCCAAATGGGAGGGATTTACTGATCAAGGCCTGCTCCCGATCTGAAGAGGCCTCAGAAAGACAGTGCCTTTTATGTAACTAGTCGAAAGCAATGCCAAGGAGTCTCCACTGATTGCGTCAACTTAAAGTCCCAACCAGTCTCACGCGACGCAACTTGTCACCATCAACTCAACAAAGATCCAAAGATCTTTGATCGTGGACTCCAACCATATGTAAATATTATACAGGGAGTCGTTTACATAAGTTTACACACACGCACACACATATATAAAATATATACATACGAGTATCCCTATTCCACCCTTGATGATGGGATTCACACACTGTAAGGCCTTCGGCCCAGAACCTGCGGTCCTGCCTTGACGCTGGAGCCGACGAAGATGTCGGACTTTCAGTGCACAAATGGAGGAGGTCCTTGGATGAAGGAGACACGGTGTCGTCACCGGAGTCGTCACTGCGTCACGGCTGCCATGAAGTGAACGGTTGGAATACGTGAGCGGTTGGTGTGCCAAGCTGCTACATGTTCTTAGGCCCGGAAACTCATTATAGCGAGGGAACAACACCCAGTCAAGCCGAAATGCTTCTTGGTTTCAATCAAAGAGGCGAAAGAACCAAGAAAAAGGGCCACTCTGGAACTCTGGGGTTGGGAATTAGTGAATTTTTGGCCTGCAGCCCCCAAGTGTTCATGGAATAGTTGCATACATCGGGGTGGTTGATTCCAAAGGGATAACGCATGACAAGGAGAGCAGTACACATGTTCTGACCGAGTTGGAAGCTTGACCCTCATTCGGCACCATTCGGATTTACACACAGTAAGGTGCAACACAAGAAACATGTCAAACCATGGGCAGGGAAACAACCGAGTAAGCACTCCAGACTGGCATATAGCCGCCTGATAGACGTCCCATTGGGAGTCTGGGGGAAGACAGGCATGGCCGTCACTCCGTTGGGGTGACCCGGGCCTCGAACACATGCGTCCACACTGTACACATGTGCTTTCACATACCTCCACTGTAAATTACTCCCCTTGTGTTTCCGTTTCATTTCGGACCTTGGTTGTGTCAAGCCGACCAAGCTCACCCCTGTTCCAATCAGCCACCAGTCACCACAGGGATGACACCGTAGGACCCAAACACTGCAAACCAACCAAGCCACACAACTGCTGGCCTCCAAACCAATAGCCAACAAGCGCTCAAATTCAATTCACCAACTCGTATGCCTTCGGTCGAACGAAACGGCGAACGGCTGCCCAGGAGCTTTTCGGAAGAGCGGCCAGGAGCTGTTGCCGCTTCGACCCAAGATCTCGCAGGCCGCCCGAGCGCCACTGATCACCGCGGCATGGACGTTCCCTCAGAAGAGCCCACGGGAGCAAACCCCTAAGGCCGGGAGATGAGGAATGGATGCGCAATCCCCCAAGTAAGGTGGTTGATATGGAGCCCCCCATCTATATATATATATATATATATATTAAAACATGTTCTGGTTTGTGTGTTTTTTCTGGCTTGTGCCATATAGTCTGAAACCACTATAATTCTGGAGACGGTTTATGCACCCCACTGTCGACATGAGGGTAGTCTGTCTACACTCCCTCCAACAATCATGGCTATATGTGGAGGGCATGGCCCCGAAAGGAAAGACTATGTGAGATCCTGGACAAACAAAGAGTTGTCCACGAAACCCTGTTTCTTGGATGGAGGGTATATATGAGGATCTTCGGTGAAGTGGATGGCAATGGCCCTTTCCAGGAAGACAATGCGATTCCTCTCTGTGACAGGGGTGCCGTTGGATGAGGGACAGGGAGGGTCTTCCCATCCACAGATCTTGATGCACGAAGGCCGGAGCCATGTACAGGCATGCGTCACAAGTCCCCGTTGTCAACCTTTGTCCGCCCATGTCCTCCTTATGCTGGGGAGTTCGAGCAAAGAACAAAACAGTGGTGGTGGGGAATTCTGAGAACTGCCTTAAGCCTTAAGGGGTAAAAAAGTGAAGCCTTTGACATAAAACAGTTGATTCAGCACATGTAGGAACTATAGTGAGCATGAGTCTGGATTCCATTCGATCGCCCAAAGCACTCCCATAGAATGCTCTCCTCTGACTGATTTGGAAATTAAATTTCAATATCAACCACCGAGTGTGCCCCAGTTCTATGCCGAGACTCCATAAAGCAGCCGGCAGGTCCCTTCGCCGGCAAAAAGGAGCCGCTGGCCCACGGTGGCAGCGACTGTATCGAAATCCTACCATTAGCGTTGGGGCGTTCGGAGAGGGATTATACTGTAGCCTTACTGACCTCGTTTTGTTTGGGAATAGTTTTTTCTTTATGCTAACGGTTCTTTTTTTTATGCTGGATTTGGGTGGGTTCTTTTTTTTATGCTAACGGTCTTTATTTTTATGCTGAGGGTTTTTATTTTTATGCTGAGGGTTTTTATTTTTATGCTGAGGGTTTTTATTTTTATGCTAACGAATGTAATTGTCGCGGGGCTTTATTGGAAAATGTAATTGTCGCGGGGCTTTAGTGGAGAATGTAATTGTCGCGGGGCTTAGTGAAGAATGTAATTGTCGCGGGGCTTTATTGGAAGGGCGGCGGCTCATCTGCGCACACACATTTTGTTAGCACTTGCGCCTCATCTGCGCACACAGATTTGACTCATGCGCGCACACAGTCCATCGGGGAGACTCAAGTGCGCACACAGGCCCTTTCCCGCATGTTTGCTCACTTACAAGGGTCGTCAAGATGGAATGGCCACTTCCTCTTCTAAATTTTACCCCTCCAGTGGCTCACCAAAGGGTGAGTCAACTTGGAATGACCACTTCCTTCTC